TTGGACCAAGAGATGGAACAGATAAACCATCATACAACAACACGTACTCCAGATGGAGATGCTGACCAAAGACAAAGTATGACCTTGCTTTTGTTCTGATTTATACTTTCTGGTATTTGAAATAACTATGGAATATTTAGTTCATACTGGCATTATATTTTAGGAGTTAAGGAGTTTAATACCTCTGTAAAATCAGGGCTGAGGGTGGCTCAAGTCGGTTGTTAAGCCTGACTCGGCTCAGGTCATGATCTCATGGTTCTTGAGTTCGAACCTGTGCCAGGTATTCTGGGCTGACAGCTCAGGGAGCCTGGAGCCCGCTTGAATTCTGTGTCTCCCTCTTCCTGTCCCTCCCACTGCTTGCACTCTGTTTTCAGATAGCCTCAAAATAAATAAGCATTTAAAAAAAAAAATTCTCTATACAATACACTTTGGAGTTTAAAAACTTTTTGTGTAATTATAAAATTAATATTAGAAGAATATATACACATGCACATTGCTATTAATTTTATCATATCTCATACAGAAGTTTCTTTTTTTTTTAACGTTTATTTATTTTTTGAGAGAGATACCAAGTGACCAGGGGGAGGGGCAGAGAGGGAGAGACACAGAATCGAAACCGTAAACAGGCCTCTAGGCTCTGAGCTGTCACAGCCCAGAGCCTGGTATGGGGCTTGAACTCTGAACGGTGATATCATGACCTGATCCGGTCAGACCGCCTTTCAACCGAATTAAAGCCACCCAGCCCCTCATACATAAGTTTAATTTTCATGTTTTCAGACTTGTTACTTTTTCTCTTATGCACAGAAAGCAATCCCCAGTGTAAGACTTCAAGAAATTTTGTATTCTAAGGCGCCTGGGTATCTGGTCACGGTTAAGCTGCCTGACTTTGGCTCAGGTCATGATCTCACGGTTGGTGGGTTCGAGCCCCCCTCAGGCTCTGTGCTGACAGCTCAGAGCCTGAAGCCTGTGTTTGGATTCTGTGTCTCCCTCTCTATCCCTACCCTGCTTGCTGGCCTCTCTCTCTCTCTCTCTCTCTCTCTCTTTCTCTCTCTCTCTCAAAAGTAAATAAAACATTACAAAAAAAAAATTTTTTTTTAATTTTGTATTCTTTTTTTAACATTTTATTTTATTTTTTTTAATTTTTTTTTTCAACGTTTATTTATTTTGGGACAGAGAGAGACAGAGCATGAAACGGGGAGGGGCAGAGAGGGAAACAGGAAGGGAAACTAAATCGAAACAGGCTCCAGGCTCTGAGCCATCAGCCCAGAGCCTGACGCTGGCCAGGCTCGAACTCACGGACCGCAAGATACGTGACCTGGCTGAAGTCGGACGCTTAACCGACTACGCCACCCAGAAGCTTCAGCATTTTATTTTTAAGCCTAGAACTTCAATCAGTCTAGAATTTATTTGTTTTTCTTCACGGGCACCTAGCTGGCTCAGTTGGTATATGTGACTCTTGAGCTTGAGTTTTAAGTTAAAATTTGTGTTCTTCGTGTAATGTGGAGATCTCTTGGATTTCATAAAAAAAATTTTTTTTTTCTATAGTCTGACAAAGATGAACAAATCAGAAAGATAAAATCTCACACAGTGATGAATTAACTTCATTTGTTAGGGTATTTTCCCAACAAAAAGCAGCTTGAAGACTTTCATAGTAAGTCAAAAGAAATTAATGACCAGGGACAGACTTGCCAAATTGAAGTAAGTATTTTGCAACTTGTAGAAATGTAATACAGATCTCTTATTTCATGCTTTTATTTTCATTGTTTTAATGTCTTGTCATGTATTGTCATAAAATGGTATGTCTTGTGTTAATTGACTTTTGGTTCTACTGTATTTTATGAATCAAGTAAATGGTGACATTGATTTGTTCCTTTGTTCCTTGGTTACCAGAACTTAGTGAGGATTAAATTGTTCTCCTTTTAAAACGACACCTGAAACCATAAACCCTAGAAGAAAATATAGAGGGAAAGCTTCATTATATTGAAATTGACAAATATTTTCTTGAACCTGATACCAGAAGCACAGGGAAACAAACCAAAATAGACAAATGGGGGCCTGTGGCTCAGTCAGTTAAGCCGCCTATTCTTGATCTCAGCTCAGGTCTTGATCTCCCGATTCATGAGATCGAGACTCACATCAGATCCCTGCTAACAGTGCAGAGCCTGCTTGGGATTCTCTCTCTCCCTCTCTCTGCCCCTCCGGAGCTCATGCCCGCCCTTTCTCTCTCTCTATCAAAATCAATAAATAAAGTGCTTTTTTTTTTTTTTAAAGTGACAAATGGGAAGCCTGGAATTCAGCATAGTCGGTTAAGCGTCCGACTTCAGCCAGGTCACATCTCACGGTCCGTGAGTTCGAGCCCCGCCAGGCTGAGCTCTGGGCTCTGGGCTGATGGCTCAGAGCCTGGGAGCCTGTTTCGATTCTGTCTCCCTCTCTGCCCTCCTGTTCATGCTCTGTCTCTCTGTCCCAAAAAATAAATAAACGTTGAAAAAAAAAAAAAAAATAAAGTAGACAAATGGGACTACATCAAAGTTAAAAACTTCTACACAACAAAGGAAACAATAGTGGGAAAAGTCAACCAACCGAATGGGAGAAAATATTTACAATCTATATATTTAGTAAAGGTTTATTATCTAGAATATGTAAAGAACTCCTATAATTCAACAACACAAAAACAGATAATTGGATTTAAAAATGAGCGTGGGCACCTGGGTGGCTTAGTTGGTTAAGTGTCCAACTTCAGCTCAAGTGATGATATTGCAGTTCGTGAGTTCAGGCTCCACATTGAGCTCCATGCTGACGGCTCAGAGCTGGAGCCTGCTTCAGATTCTATGTCTCCCTCTCTCTCTGCACCTCCCTGCTCTCATTTTCACTCTCTCTCAAAAAACAAGCATTTAAAAATTTTTTTTAAAAAATGGGCAAAGGACTTGAATAGACATTTCTCCAGAGGCAATATTCAAATGGCCAGTGAGCATATGAGAAAATGTTCAGTATCACTAATCATCAGGGAAATGCAGCTCAAGGCCACAGTGAGAATCACATCATACCAGTTAGGATGGCCACTACCAAAAAAAAAACAAACAGAAAATAACACGTGTTGGTGAGGATGCTGAGAAATTGGAACCTTTGTGCATTGTTAGTGAGAATGTGAAATGATACAGGTGATATAGAAAATGGGTGTCCTTCAAAACAGAATTACCAGATCCAGCAGTTCCACTTCTGAGTATATATTCAAAAGAATTGAAAACATCTTGAAGAAATTTTTGCAAATCCATGTTTATTATAGAATTATTCTCAGTAGCCAGATGAATGGGTAAAGACTCGGTATATGTTTGTGTATAACAATATTAACTCAGCTTTGAAAAAGAAGGAAATCCTGGGCTCCTGGCTGACTCATTTGGTCAAGCGAGTGACTCTTGATCTCTAAGTTGTGAATTCAAGCCCCATGTTGAGTGCAAAACTTACTTAAAAAAAAAAAAGTTCATCCATCAACTTGGATGAACCTTGAAGGATATTATGTTTAGTGAAATAATTTAGTTTCAAAAGAACGAATACTATATGATTCCACTTAAAAGACCTACCCAAATAGTCAAACTCTTAAAAACAGAAAGTATAAAGGTGTTGCCAGGAAATGGGGGAAGAGGGAAAGAGGAATTGTTGTTCAGTGGTTACACAGTTTCAGTTTTACAAGATGTAAAAGTTTTAGAGATAGGTTGCACAATAATGTGTGTATGGTTAATTGTACTGTGCACTTAAAAGGTTAAGATGGTAGTTTTTATGTGTGTTTTTTACCACAATAAAGAAAAAGTGATCACTTTTTTCTAATGTCACTTTGAGTGGTGGTTGGATAAGAGTCAAAAATTCCTTACAGATTTTTGAGGAAGATAGTGGATTTGGCTTTGACCATGTTTAATTTGTGCTTGTTGTGGAAATATCTCTTAGGGAGATACTGGAGTTTGAAGTTCAAGAGATTGGAAATTGTTGCTTTGTAAGTAATAATTGAAGTCATTAGTACAGGCAATATCACTTTAAAGGGGTTTATGCAAAGAGAAAAGGTTATGGTCTGATGCCTCAGAAACAGCAGCATTTACTGTTGGTAAGCAATGAAGAAGAGCAAGTAAAGGAAACTAGAATTAGGGGAGCTGGGGTGAGAGCCAAACAGGAGTGGTTCTTGTTCTTGATGCCTTGAGAAAATAGACTTTCAAGGAAGTGGCCAACAGTGTTTGGTGCTAAGATAGTGGTGTTAATGACATTGCTCAGTGACTAGGATGATCAAAGCATCATCTGTATTAGTTACTTTTATTTTTCCAGATTTTTACTGTCTCAAAATGGGAAGTATCAAGATACAACACACATGCATTCATACACACTCATCTGAAACAAATTTCTCAAAATAGTACATGTCCAAACTATGCTCATTCTGCTCCAATATATTTTATTCTGTTTCATTTTTTAAGATAGGCTGAATGTAATGCATTATATTGATTACATGCCTTGCCTAGTGCATCATAACCTGCAAAGTGAAAAACCCTGATCTTTGTCAGTATGGAGGTTGGCTAGGATGATATTTAAGAGTTGGAATGGAAGGGTGCCTGGGTGGCTCAGTTGGTTAAGCGTCCAACTTAGGCCTAGGTCATGATCTCATAACCCGTGTTGGGCTCTGTGCTGACAGCTTGGGGCCTGGAGCCTACTTTGGATTCTGTGTCTCCCTATTTCTTTGCCCTTCCCCCGCTCACACTCTGTCTCTCTTTCTCTCTCAAAAATAAACATTAAAAAAAAGGAGGAATGGAGATAAATTGTACTAGTGAGCAAAATCTTCCATGAATGAGAGGGAATGGATGATGAGACCTAAGTAGATGACAGCAACAACGAAGGGATGAAGGAGAAGTTCTTATAGGAGAGAAGGGAAGTGATATTGTGAAAGGGTCCTACCTACCTACTCAGACTTTTCAAACTGATTTCTCATGTTTTAAAATTGTAATCTGTATTTGTTCTTATTTTAGCAAAGAACTAGCTTCAGCTGAGCAAAATAAAAATCACTTAAATAATGAACTAAAAAGGAAAGAAGAGCAGTTGTCCAGTTATGAAGACAAGCTGTTTGATGTTTGTGGTAGCCAGGATTTTGAAAGTGATTTAGACAGACTTAAGGAAGAAATTGAAAAATCCTCAAAACAACGAGGTAAGTTACCTTCTTTTTTTACTTTTTTATATGTATGTTTATTTTTGAGAGAAAAAATTATTCGGAGAGAAATAAATATTATTGGGAGAGACAGGGAGAGGGAACGACAGAGGATCCAAAGCAGGCTCTGCACTGACCACAAAGAACCTGTTGCGAAGCTCAAACTTATGAACCGTGAGATCATGACTCGAGCTGAAGTCGGACACTCAACCGATTGAACCACCCAGGTGCCCTAAGTTACCTTCTTTATAATATGGAAGTACTTTGACACTTTGGAATTTTCACCCACAGGTAACTGTTAAGGATGAGAGATTTAAAAACTTAGTTCTGGAGCCAAATGGCTTTAGTCCTGATTCTACAACTTGATGGCTGTGTGACTTTGGGCAAATTATCAAATCTTTCTTTTACTTCAGACTTATCATCTGAGGACATAATTACCTACCATTTAGGGTTTGAGGGAAGAGTAAATGAGATTATTAGTATAAAGCTCTTAGAACAGTTTCTGGCACATAATATGCTCTAAAATTTTGTTACAGTTTTTGTGTGTTACCAGAAAGTAATTAATACAAATCTGAATGTATTGTGTCCTTTCAAAGATTATGTAAATATCAGAGAATTTTTATTTCTATAATGTGTTTATAAAGGAAGAATAATCATATACATATGGGAAAGGATTATAACCATCATGACAAAACTATATTTTATATTCCTCTCACTGGTAATAATATTTATTTTCTTAAAATAGCCATGCTGGCTGGAGCCACGGCAGTTTACTCCCAGTTCATTACTCAGCTAACGGATGAAAACCAGTCATGTTGCCCTGTCTGTCAGAGGGTTTTTCAGACAGAAGCTGAATTACAGGAAGTCATCAGTGATTTACAGTCTAAGCTGCGGCTTGCTCCAGATAAACTCAAGTCAACAGAATCGGAACTAAAGAAAAAAGAAAAACGGCGTGATGAAATGCTGGGACTTGTCCCCATGAGGTGAGAATATGGGTTTACCATTACTGTACATGTAACAGTAGCACCGTAAAAGTTACTCATCCAGGGGTGTCTGGTTGGCTTAGTCAATTAAGCACTTGACTGTTGATTTCAGCTCAGGTCATGATTTCACATTTCACGAGTTTGAGCCTTGCATCGGGCTCTATGTTGACAGTGCAGAGCCTGCTTGGGATTCTCTCTGTCTCTCTCTCTCTGTCTCAAAAATAAACAAACATTAAAAAAAAAAAGGTACCCATCCAGTCCCTGGCCATATTTTAGGTGTTGAGTAATGTGTTGAATGAGTAAAAATTCAAGTCAGGATTCTCAGCCAGTATGTCCCCTTTCATGTTATTTATGTGATAAGTAAAATAACTTATGTGATAATAAAATAACTATTTTGTTTAAAGGTGAGCAAACTTCTTAAACTACTCACAGGGTAGATATAATCTTAACTTTTTTTTGTTTTGTGTGTATGTTTATTTAATTCCTGAGACTTGGCTTAGGAACAGAAATTTTGACAGATTTTGAATTGTTTGCTAGTATGGTACTTTCTAAACCTAGCAAAAGAATTAAAGTCTTAGAAAGCTCCCCCAAAAGAAATTTTAAACTATATTTTTATGTCTTTCCCACTTTCTAAAAGAATGAATCATAGTGATTTGTATTGTTTATTTTCCCTCACTTATTCAAGAAATTCAAATGATGGTCTCTTTATAAATCAGACCAAGTCAGAAAGTCTGTGATGATATCTTGTTGTCTCCCACAATATAGAGCATGCAGCTGGTCACAGAGACCAGTATGACGTAGTCTCTAAGGAGCTGATGCTCTAAGTAGACAAGCTCTCAGAATTGAATATTTAGAAAGCAGGGCTTAATAAAGTACTTAATTGGTTCAGACAAATACATTAGTTAAGAGAGAAGCCAATGGACTATAGAATGAGAATAAGATTTTGAGAACGAGATGGGAGGGGAATATAAAGCATAGGGAAGTTGGTTCAACTCTATTAACAGAAGAAAAGTGGAGAGAGAAATGAGGACAGTGTGTGTGAAGGGGAGAGGAGCATGACCTGTGCTGCAATAGAAAGGTGATCTAGAGTTGGAAGAATCATGTGGGGAGGTTGATTTCCAAAAGTTAGGAAGATAGGGCAACATTATGTTCAGACCTAGTTACAACTCCCTCTGATAGGTCATAGGGAGTCATCTTTAGGGATTTATGAAAAATGTGTTTTAAGAAATTAATCTCATGTTAATATATTGAATGGATAAGAGTGAGAACAACTCAGTTAAGAATCTGACTCTTAGTTTTCGCTCAGGTCATGGTTTCGCAGTTCATGGAATTGAGCCCTGTGTCAGGATCTGTGCTGACATCCTGGAGCCTGCTTGGGATTCTCTCTCTCTCCTTCTCTCTGCCTCTCTCCCCCACTGACTCACACGCTTTCTCTCTTTCTTTCAAAATAAATAAATACATACTAAAAAAAAAAAAAAAAA